GGCGTCACGTGACTGTCACGTTTTCCCTTTCAGCAACGAAGGTTTTGGGAACAGTAAAATGGTTCAACGTAAGAAACGGCTACGGCTTCATCAACAGGGGAGGAGCAAGGTGCCCAGGGCCAGGCCTGCGCCACGTGCGCCTTGCCCGGGGGAGGAGCGGCCTCAGCTGGGACCGTGCTTCTGTCACGCTGCTCGCCGAGCAGGCCCCCTCTGGCAAACGGCTTAGTGCTGAGGTGACTCGCCTGGGGAATGCATCTGACGAAGTGGGTCTTTGCCCACGCAAGCTTATGCTCCTACACTGCAGTTAGTCTATAAGGTGCCACAGGACTCCTCGTCGCTTTTGCAGATTCAGACTAACACGGCGACCCCTCTGATACTGGCCTGGGGAATGGGTTTGATGGCTGCTGCAGACCTTCCCCAGGGGGACGGTTCACTCTTCATGCCTCTTTCCCACCCAGCGCTGCTCTCACGAGGGTTGCTCTTCCAAATCCTTACTACTGAGTTTTCCACGAAAGCAGATAAGAAATCGAATGGTAGTAACGCCCGGTATCCCTCCCTAGAACAGCACAACTAAGACAGTGGGCTGTCATCATAGCCTCGTGTTTTGACATGTGGCCTGACGTCTGCAAGTGTTGTTCTGGTTGAGATTCTGGGTGGTATTTCCATGTAAACATTGGATCAGAATGAGATTATAGTTTCTGTAACCTTTTCACAGGTATTGTAGGGAATGTGTGCGATTCGAACATGACCTGACCTCCTGTCCCATTGAGCTTTTCACAGAAGCAATAACAGTTAAGATAGGTGTCCACTCTGTCTTCTAGATTTATTGTCTTGAAGTGTTTTTAATAAATTGGTTTCAATGGGGATATTTACTCAGTGTTGGAAGTAGTTTGATTTTTCATAGTTATCATTCTTTGATCCTTTAAGATGGTTTTTAAAGGTATAACACTTTGGTTCATGTTGTGTGTTAATACTTGTTTGATTCTAAGCTGTGTATAAATGTATACAAGTGATAAGCCTTAATAGCAGACTTAATTAGGTATTGATATTTGCATTAGTATTTTCAAAATTCATTTGACTGTAAGTTGGGATTGGTCTTGCCTAGAGCAGGAGGCTGGACTTGATGACCACCTGAGGTCTTTTCCAGCTCTATGATTCGATAAGCATAGTAATTTACACTGAGTTTACTTTAATTTTTAATTATTGTGCTCAGAAATGTCACTTAGAGTATGCTCTGTTTTCAGTGCCAACTGAACTATAAAGAGCATGCTGACTTACAAAGGTCTGGGTCAGTAGCTTTAAACTCATTTGGTTAGAACTTTTGTGCAAAGTTGGATTTTTAAATATCTTTTAAACACTATTACAAGGAACTTCTAAGATGGTCAATACTGCAAAAAGCTAGAATTTTCTGTATTTTGGAATTTCTTAACTTCGTGCATTTGATAGCACTTCATTTAAATACCATTTTCACTGTTTGCTTTATGCTGTCAATTAGCAAGGGAGACTGAGAAATACCTTATAAAAATGCTGCATTTTAAATAAAACATTTTGCACAAGGGGTTTTCTGAATGAATTTTAAAATGTCAGCGTATGTTTTCTAAAGAATTGTCAGAAAATTAAAAAAACTGGATATAGTGTAATGTACTCAAAGTATTCTGTTGAAGTTTGGAATATTTTAAGAACTGTTAGTCCTTGTGATGGAATCTCTTGAGTGACTCAGCAGAGGTGCTTTAAGTGCTGGGTGCATATTAATAAGATGCAAAGTTCCTTTACAGCTCAATTCTGGAAGTTTTCTGCATGTAGAGCTCTCATTGAAGGCAGTGGGTGTTTTGCGAAGAGGTGGAGAATAATGCCCTTAGTTATTCTCCTTTCCTCCTTATTACTTTTCATAATCCATTTATTGTTTTGAAAGGTGTACAGTAGAACCTAAATTATTTGGGAGGCTCATACTATCTGAACCTGTCACTCAAGGTCATGTGAAATAACACAATAAGCAATTATAGACAACAGTTGACTTTATTGTACAAATAAGATGTTTGTTTACTTTTAGTGAGCCAGAGTGCACACACTTCAAGCTGCTTTTGCTAACTTCTCTTAATAGGATATGTAGGAGCTAGTGTTGACAAAGCAAACTACTTTGAATTCCTTATTCATCCTGGGTGCAAGTGCAGTGCTCTGATATGTTCATAAAGATGGCTGGATTATGTAAAAGATCAATATGTAATTGGCTTTGCGCACACATAATTCAGAGTTCCCTCTAAGATGCATGGCTTTGTAGGTGCCTGATGAGCCAATGGAAGCTATTGTGGAGGAGGGAAAGGTGCCTTTTCCCTGGTTGCAGTAGCTCCTTGCTAAGACTGGAGGAGAAACACATTCTCCTGGCTCCAGCAGCAGGGCTAGATTAAGAATGGGGCTTTAGGAGCTGCAGCCTGGGGCCCCATGCTAAGGGGGAGGCTTTTAGTCCAGGCACCTGGGCTGAAGCCCTTTTAACCTCTGTTTTATGGGCCAGTCCTTCCTGGCAAAGGGGAAGGGAGTTGGCTCTGCGTGCTGCTGTCCTCTGTCCCTGCAAATCCCTCACCTGTGAGCCCCAGCTCCCATTGGCAGCGAATTGTGGCCAATGGGAGCTATGGGGCAGGTGCTTGCAGGTGTGTGTGGAATCATCTGTTCATCCCACTATAAAATAGGAGTTGCCTCAGGTAAGTATCCCTTGTCCCAATGCTCTGTTCCAGCCTTGAGCCCCTTCCCGCATCCTAACTCCCTGACCCTGCATCCCAGCCCAGCATTCTGCCTTGAGCTCGCTCCTACATGCCAAACCCCTAAGTTGGAGCCTCCTGCACCCTAAAAGCTTCATTGCCAACCAGAGCCCTCACCCCCTCAATCCTGAGCCCCTCCAACACTGAATCCTCAGCCCCATCACAAATTGCCCCTGTGTAGAATTAATTTTATGTGCACCATTACGGAAGTAATGTGTTGCACATTACCTCCACATTGGTGCACATAAGAAAATTCATTCCATATACGGACAATAAAAAATTAGAGGGAACAATAGTACAGTTTATATTTCTGGACATTCATACTGTTTAAGTCAAGCAATATTTATGTGCAGCCTTTTAATTCTGTGGGTGAATCTTAAACACCAGACCAATGATGTTTAAATTGTAAATTCTAACAACTCTTGATCATTGCATTGG